TGGTAAATTAGAGGGTCAACAAAAAAGGAGAAGACCCTCAATGAGATGGATTGACACTGTGGCTGCAATGATGGGGTCAAGAATAGCAGAGATTGTGAGGATGGTGCAGGACAGGGCAGTGTTTCATTCTGTTGTACATAGGGTCACTATGAGTAGAACCTGACTCAATGGTACCTAACAACAATAACATGAACACTGCCATTTTCCTGTGGTTTCTGTATGTGTGTAGTGTTGATGATTTCTTTGTTCAATATATTTTTCTGCACTGAGTTCATTTTGTTTATGGATTTTCTTACCATTTCCTTCTTTGCCGCTATTTTAGTGTTTACCAAAACTTTATGCTTTTCTTATTTATTTTTTTGGTGAGAAGGTTTGTTAATTTTCTTTGAGGTTACCCTGTAATTTATTAATATTTCCTCAAGTTTAAAGCAGTCCATTCTATCTTGATATCATCTTAACTTCCTCTCTGTTTGTATGATCTGTAATTATATCACTTATTCCCTCTTTTTGTTTTGTAGTTATTATTATTTACAAATTGACATCTCTGGTTCATTATTTTCAATCTTGGAGGTTTATTTAATATTTGATACTTGTATGTCTCAGTTGATTTCTGGGTGATGTTATATGTTTTAATCTCTGTTGCAGTCTGCCATTGTTGAACTGTCCAAAGGACTCCTTTTAGCATCTATATAGTAAATATTAGTATGTTTTTCACAAATTCCCATAATTTCTGTTTATCTCTGAATGTCTCAATTTCTCCATCATATCTGAGGGACAGTTTTCTTAGATATATATTTTTTGGTTAACAATTTATTTTCTTTCAGGGTTTTATACATGTCATCCCATTGCCTTTTTGCCTGCAATGTTTCTGATGAGAAAGCAGAGATTAGTCTTATTGGTTCTCCTTTGTAGGTAATGTTTCATTTTTCCTGAGCTGATTTCAGGATTCTTTCTTTGTCTTTGATTTTGGAAAGTTGTATTATGATATGCCTTGGTGATTTTCTTCTGGAGTCTATCCCATTTGGGGTTTATTGACCTTCCTGAACACATATCTTTTTGTCTTTCATGATATTAAGGAAGTTTTCTTCCAACAAATCTTCAACAATTTTCTCAGTGCTTTTTTGTGTGTCTTTCTATTCTTTAATTCCAATCAGATGTAAGTTATTCCTCTTGATGTGTCCCTAATAATTTTTCAAAAAAAAACCAAAAAAAAAAAAAAAAAACCTCACTGCCATCAAGTTGGATCCAACTCATAGTGACCCCTCCTTAGCTTTCTGAGGCGGTATCACTATGGAAGTAGACTTCCTAACCTTCCTTCTGAGGAGTGGCTGGTGGGTTTGAACCTCCCTAATAATTTTTAGGCTTTCTTAATTTTTTTCTGTTCTTTTTTTTCTGATTGTTCCTATAATTTCACTAAATTAGTAGTGGGTATGGGTGGTACTGACCACTGAGAGGGTTGGTGGGCTCCTGCTCTATGGGATAAAAAAAGGGGGGGCAGGGGGAAGAGGAAGGAAAGAATAGAAGAAAAGAAAGAAGAGGGAAAACAAGAAGGAAGAGGAAAGAATTAAGAAGACGTGAAAAAAAAAGAAAAAGAAAAAACATTTAAAAGAAAAAAGCAGTATAGTAATGAAAAAATTGCTAGCTATCAAACATGTCTGCATGGGAATGCTCATCTGTGACTAGAAAAGGGCAGAACAGATACCGCTAACTGCATGTGCAGCAGGGGGAGGGCCAGCTGCTCTGAGAGAGACCAGAAAAGAAGAGAAAGGGAGTGTGAAGAACTAAGAAAAAGTGAAAAGGAAAAAAATGGCACCACACTGGCAGTAGGGGGGTTGACCACCTGCCAGGTGAGTGGGGTGTGGCAGGGGCCATGTCTTTGGTCATTAAGAGGTTACTCAAAGTAAGGGGTGAGGTCACACATCTCTGGTTGCCAAGCACTGATGAAAGTGCTGATGCAGTCATGGGCAAGAAGAGTCATTTATCGGTTCCTGCTCCCATCAGAATGCTACTTGCAATAATTTAAAATGGCCATGCTGTGCCAGCTGGCAATTTACCACTCCCTGTTCACTGTTTTTGTTCAGTCTCTTCCTCTTGTCAGTATGTGTCTCCTTTATTATCCTTTCCTCTGAAGCTCTGGATTCTAGGACTGCCATCTGTATCCAGTTCTCTTGGTTTCCTGAGTCTGAATAGCATATTTGCCTGGTGTGCCATCTTGAATCCTTTGTCAAATTCTTTTTTAGACAGCCAATTCACTATTTTTGGTTTTTGTTTTGTCTAATTTTTATCTTTCTCACAGATGACTTTTAAGGTAAGTAATATTTGGCAACATACTATCATAAAACGTATGTTGTTGAGCAAAGAGTCACTTTGAAGAATAAAGTGTGCCTGATCCAAGCCATGGTATTTTCAGTAGCCTCACATGCACGTGAGAATTGGACAATAAATAAGGAAGATCACAGAAGAACTGATATATTTGAATTGTGATGTTGGTAAAAGAATATTGAATGTACCATGAATTGCTAGAAGAATGAACAAATCTGTCTTGGAGAAAGTACAGCCAGAATGCTCCTTAGGAGCGAGAATGGTCAGCCTTTGGTCATGTTGTCAGAAGGGACTGGTCCCTGGAGAAGGCTATCATACTAGGAAAAGTAGAGAGTCAGCAAAAAAGGGGAAGCTCTTCACTGAGATAGAATGACACAGTGACTGTGACTATGGGCTCAACCATGGCAATGATTTTGAGGATGGTGCAGGGCTAGCTAGTGTTTCAATCTGTTGTACATAGTATCACTGTGAGTCAGAACTGCCTCAATAGCACCTAACAACATTTGGCAACATACTATCATAAACGGAATGTTGACTCTTTTTGTTGTTGTGTGCCATGAAGTCAATTCTCACTCACAGTAACTTCCCCATAGGATTTCTGAGGCTATAATCTTTATGGGAGCAGACTGCTAATTTTTTTCTCCCATGGAAGCAGCTAAAAAAACAAAAAAACAAAATCGCTGCTATAGAATTGATTTGACTCATAGTGACCCTTCCTTGGGTTTCCGAGGCACTATTTGTACAGAAGTAGATTGCCCAGTCTTCCTTCCAAGGAGTGGCTGGTGGGTTTGACCCAACGGCCCTCTGGTTAGCAGCCAAATGCCTTAGGCACTATGAAATAGCTGGTGGATTGTAAACACAGACCTTTTGATTAGCAGCTGAGCACTTAACCTTTATAACACTGGGGGTCCTTACAAAATGAATAAACTTTATAAGGGATAAACCAAAACCTAACTTAGTGCTGTTGAGTCAATTCTGACTTACAGCAACCTTTAAATATTGTTTAAAAGTAAAGTATTATATTTTTGGAAAGTAAAAAATTCATAAAAGCTAAAAAATTTAAAATGAAAAATGTAAAAAAAAATCTTCTTATATCATAGTCATTATTTTTATTTTTTAAGTATTTATTGACTATGTCTAGTGTTTTTTGTTGAAACCATCTGACCATCCTAACAATCTAGTGGAGGAGTTCAGTACACACTCTGTAAATGTATTGTTACTATACTCTTCAATAAATGCTAATGATAAAAGGATATGGAAGCATGTAAGAGAACCTTCTAACCCAAATGAGTAAGAGATAGTCAGAAGGCTTCTCTAGGTGACAGTGGAGACTTGAAGGATGAATAAAAGATAGTGGGGAAGAAAGAAGAAAAGGAAAGAGCAATGGAAGAAGAGGAAACATCCCAAAAAACAAAAGAAGACCTAAGGTGAAGACCTAAGGCACCTGGGTACACTCAAGTGGAGACATTTAATAAATTATTGCCTATGTATCAGTTGTTGTTGTTGTTATGTACCATCGAGTTGGACCCGACTCATAGTGACCCCTCCTTGGGTTTCCAAGGCAATATCACTTTGGAAGTAGATTGCCCCATCTTCCTTCTAAGGAGTGGCTGGTGGGTTTGAACCGCCAGCCTTCTGGTTAGCAGTCAAGTGCCTTAGGCACTATGCTACCAGAGCTCCTGGCTATGTATCTAGTACAGACCAAAGCTCAAGATCTAGGCTAAAATAAAGACACACGCAGAGACACATAAAACTCTGGGAAAAGCCAACAAATAGGAACAAGTGTACAAAGAACACAAGTTTACACAAAGAGATTTTGAGAAGCAGTAGCTAGAATTAAGAGGAAAGATAGGGCACAGAAATTTCAAGGAAGCTAAGAGGTTTTCTTCAAGAAAACGGCAACAATGTCAAATGCTCCTTAAAATGTCTTCTAAAGTAAGGGTTATTAAATATCTATGTAGTGAGCACTTAAGTCATTGGAGACAAGAACAGATTCAGAGTAGAAAATTTAATCAGACAATAGCAATTTAGGGAGTGAATAGGAGGTTGGGAAGAACAAAAGGACTCTCTCAAGTATCTTCCTGTTTAAATGATTAAGTCTCCAACTTACATACTGATTTTTATTAAGTTCATTCCTGCATATTTAAGATAAAATGGATAGGACTTCATGATTAATTGATGTCAAGGTAACTACCAAATCTGTAAGTTGTTGTCACCCCCTCCTCCCCATCTAATCATCACAGCATCAAAATACATACTATCTACAATGTAACTGGATGCCTCAAATTAATTTTATGATAAAAGCATGACATTATTCCATAGAAATATGTGCACATTTTGGGAATTCATATTATGTTTAGTTTTCTTTTTTAGGGAGGATGTAGTGATGGATTGCAAAAGTGGTTTATAATTAGGCGACCATACTCTGTTTACCTGGGACTGTCCTGGTAGAACCTTATTTTCCTGGTGTAGCAGATCTTCTATTTCAAAAGTGTCCTGGTTTACACAATAAAGTATATGATCACCTTACAAGCCTCTTTCAAAGAACTATTATCTCAAGTTATTCTAGTAAAGAATATAGAATAAAATTCCAAAGAGATGCTCTAGAAAACTCCTACTATATAAGAGTTTCTGTTACTACCAATACTTAAGAGAAAAATAAATAGAAATGTACAAACCTTTTGGAGATATGGCCATATTGACATTATCACAATAGAAAACCCTATGAAGAGGCAAAATCTGTTATTTATACTTATAATAATCTTGTCACTATGACTCAGATAAAATTTTTTTGAACTACAGCATGGATTTTAAAATATCAAACTGACAAATTTATGCATACAAATGCTAATTTATCAAGCAATGACATTTTACTTATCAGAAGAAAAATAAACACTCAAGGCTTAAAAATAGCATACAGTTCTGAGCATAATTAATACAATAAAAACAGAAGACCTTTCTTCTCATTCACATGCCTTTACTGTAAATGAAAGTTTTTTTTTTTTAGTTTTTTGTATCAGAAATGAATAGAAGGAAGGCCACTTGATTATAGAGGCAGTATTAGGCCTCTAGTCTGTTATTTGACGAAGGAAAATGATCATCTACAGGGGGCAGTGGCTATAAAGAACCAGGATATTTCAAGATGGTCCTACCTCATAAGAAAATTCATTATCTCTTTTAGGCTTTACTGCCTGAGAACTGAAATAATAAACTCCCATGTTATTTGTCAATTTTAAATGTTAGGTGCATCCAATCAGAAATTCTATAAAGACAATTATTATTTGTAAACAGCTTTACTGAGATATAATTCACATAACATGTAACACACCCACTTAATGTGTACAATGCAATGATTTTTAGTATATTCACAAAAAGTATAACCGTCACCACAGTCAACTCTAGTCAGTTGGTTCATTACTTCAAAAACAAACCCAGGACCCTTTAGCTATCATGCCTCTGTTCTAGGCCCACCCTCTACCTCCAATCACTAATCTACTTTCTGCATCTATAGATTTCCCTATTTTGAAGTATCATATGAATGGAATTGTATAATATGCGGTATTTTATGGCTGGCTTCTTTCACTTAGTATAATATTATCAAGGTTTATCCATGTTGTAGCATGTTATCAATATTTCATTCTTTTCAAAAAGCTTATTTTTAAAATAATTTAGTCATTAGTTTCATTTTAGTATATTTTGTTTGTTTGCTTGTGGTGAAAATATATACATCAAAATGTTTGCCAGTATGACAAATGGAAATGGTAAACACAGGAAGGAATAAGGAAGAGTGCTGCAAGACTGTGGGCACTGCAAACAACATCACAAAACAAAATGTGTATGAATTGATAAAAACGAATTTGCTCTGTAAACTTTTATACAATCCACAATAAAATGTCTAAAAAAAAAAAACCTCTAAAAACATTTGCCAGCAAAACAACTTCCATATTTATAATTTGATGGCATTGATTAAATTTTTCATGTTGTGCCACTATTCTTGCTATCCTTTTCCAAACTATTCCACAACCATTAATGTAATCACTGTAGTATATTTTTAATTAGCACATTGATGAAAACAGGACTGAAAGAAGCCAATTAATATTTGAAATCAAGGCTACAATTGCAAACAAGAAAACTGTAAACAAGTAAAATGTTTAATACTCCAATTACAATCTAAACTAAAAATATTTTTTTTGTTGTTAAATTATTTGAAATTATTTTTTTATAATTTTAGATAAATACTAAAAATTAGAAATCTTTTTTGAAGGAAAAAAAATCTAATTTATAGTTGACATTGTTACCTAACAAAATCCATTTGCTCCTTTTTAATTTTTTATTCAGAGAGCTCCAGTAGCATAGTGCCTAAGGCACTTGACTGCTAACCAGAAGGCTGGCGGTTCAAACCCACCAGCCATTCTTCAGAAGGAAGGCTGGGCAATCTACTTCCGTAGTGGCCCTAGGGGATGGCCTCAGGCCTAAGGAAGTCACCTGCCACACCCAAGGTTGTCTGTTCAAACCCATCAGCTGCTCCCCACCAGATAGCTGGGCCTTCTCTTTCTCGACTCAGCCCTCCTGGGAAACCCAAGGAGGACTCGCTAGGAGTCTGATCCAGTCAGTTGGGAGGTGTTTTTAGGAGCTCTGGTAGTGTAGTGCCTAAGGCACTTGACTGCTAACCAAAAGTTTGGTGGTTCAAACCCACCAGCCACTCTTCCGAAGGAAGGCTGGGCACTCTACTTCTATAGTGATACTGCCTTGGAAACCCAAGGAGGGGTCACTATGAGTTGGGTCGGACTCGACGGCACATAACAACAATAACAACAACTTTCATTCAGGTATCCATCACTCCTTCACAAAGCTACAAGCTTCAGGGGAAACTGTTCAACACCCCAACTCCAGAGGGTAGAACCTGATTAAAATAAAATATTCAATTAGGGTAATCCCATTATCCTAGTTGATGATGGGTTTAGAAATTGACAGGTAGCCCAGTTCTGACTAATAAGAAATGAAGGCAGATCTACTTGGGGACTTCTGGGAAAAAAACTCCTCATCCCTGAAGAGGTTACAAAAAAATGTCTCTTTTGGTCAATGGAAGTTATTGACCAAAAGGGAAGGAATGTGACACCTGGAACTGCTGTAACTATCTCGCTATAGGCTATATATGAATACAATGTGCAGAAGAGGGCAATAACAGAAAAATTATTGAGAAGAAATGTTATAAGAAATGACTAATTATAAAGCACTAAATTATGTTACTACTTAGGCCAATTTGAATCAACTTTTGTTTCCTGATATTTGCAGAAGGCATGCTAATGGATACACAACCCAAGATAAAAATTTATTACAAAGGATTGTTAGAAATATCTTTCATCTTGAACTTTTCTTTAGTTTTGTCTTTATTTAAAATATGTTTTTACCCAGTCTTAAATCATGCACAAGGTTGTCAAGTAAGAGAGAACAGAAGAGTGACTAAGCTAAACAGAAAACAAATGAAAAACAATTTAGAAATAATGATCCTGGTTCCGGCAAGATGGCGGACTAGGCAGAAAGACTGTACAGACCCTCTTCAACAAAGAAAAAGGAAACCAATTAACACAGACACCGAAGATAATCCTGGACCCC